ATCTAAAATGGATACCTTCCAGGAGGTGGGAGGGTCTGCTAGGGAGGGTGTGCTGCTAATTGGCTGGAATGTGTCTGCTGACTGTGAGGTACAGGGTCAAAGTTTACTCAATGATGACGAATAGGGGGCGGGTCGAACCGCGCATATGTTTGCCCGCCGTGGCGAACGCGAACATGCTATGTTCGCCAGGAACCGTTCGCCGGCGAACCGTTCGGTACATCACTAGAGATGGGATTACACAATCGATATTCATACTTAACATTTTCAAAGATGTTAGCATTATATTCTTATGTGGACATTTATTTTACTTCCTTTACATTAATCAATGCATATGTCAATCTAACCAATCTAATACTTTATTTACTGTTCTCATTTAAAAATTTTTTATTTTTTTTAATTTTTTTTTAATTTTGTTATTCATTATGAAAACAATGAGTTTGGGAAATGTTTGATTTATATAGTGCTCCCTGTGTAGTAATAATATTGTTTAGTTCATTTCAGCAGCTCCCCCAATAAAACATGTTTATGATGATGAGTTTTTATTTTTGGCCAATGGAAATATAAAACTATACAAATATATACATAATCTAAATAAAATAAATGACTGTTACAGTAATTATCTCTCGTAAAATTGAGTTCACAAGGCTAGAAAATTAATAAAAAAATATACATTAAATTATCAATTTAGAATCTTGTGAACTGTGGAAAGCTGATGTAACGTTTCTTTAAAAACTGCATCCTTTACTGTTTTTTTTTAAGGTGATAGGATTACCTGATCGATATTCATATTTAGCATTTTCAAAGATGTTAGCATTATAATTTTTTTATTACTGTTTATCATTTTTATTGAGTTTTTGTCAATATCAATATAAGAGATATTTTTAAAATTTTACAATATAGCAAATATTTTTTACAATTTTACAGATATTTTGTATAAGTTGTAACATGAATATAGCACAGTTAATATGTTATAAACGTTCATAGATAAGTCGATGCAAAGATTGTAATAATGCAGACACAAATATGTTAACTAATAACAATCCCGTAATCTAGTCGGAGCTTAATAAACATTCCAGTACATCGTGTGTAGACCTCAGTCAACTATAAATTATATTTTTAATTAACCTATAAAAACAGTGTTGATAGTTATGAATACACTGATTGATTCTAGTGAACTACCTTCAGTTTCCCATGAACTGCATTAGATTTCCAGTATGGGGACAGTTGAGGACATCTGTCCGGGTCTGTTAACAAAATAAAATAAAGGAAAATAAAATGAGAATAAAAAGAATTTAAAATAGCGGGTGGGTGAGCATGCACACAGTAGTATTCCTTCTGGCTTAGCAGATCATCGTGCAGGGAGTGGTGAGATGGGAGGTAGGGTTGCACCTTTGGTGACTCTGGAGAGTAATCCAAGAAGTCGGAAAAGGTTTGGTTACTCCCTAAAGTGGTAATCAGGCTCCCTAAGCGTGTTTGCTTACCATCCCTTGTTGTCAATATATCTACCTGCCATGAGACGTAATCTGCTGTAGTGTGTCTGTGGTCATGGTCCCTTCAAAGAGCTTTAGCCTAGTGAGGGTCGTTTTTGTCCTCTTGCATAAAAGTGTTCCATGGTTCCCATATTCTAGTATAGGTGTGGAAGTTTTTGAGATAGCATGTGTTATTTCCTCCATCTGTTTTATCCCTTCTACCCTATGTATCCATTCCCTAATCAATGGGATTTGTGGTACTTTCCATTTAAGGGGGATTAGTTGATCGGCAGCCATTAGCAATTGAGAGAGTAATGTTGTTCATGTCTACCTAGACAGGGGGAGGCATTAGAAATAAAAAGAATTGTTTTAACTCAAGAAGTCAGTCAAGTAAAAGTTATTTTTTTAGATTTACAGATATATGTAGATAAGGGATGTTTGAAAACTAGTACATATTATAAAACTGTAGATATTAATAGTTATATTAATATGGAAAGTTGCCACTTCTCCCCGTGGGTAACCAATATACCCAAAGGCCAATTTACCAGAGTAAGACGGAATTGTACAGATGATGATATTTTTATAGAACAGTCAGGAATTTAAAAAAAAAAAAAAAATTTAGAGAAAGGATATAATAAATCAGAGGTAGAAATACAATATAAAGAAACCCTAGACAAACCCAGGAAGGATCTCTTGATATACAAAACCAAAATTAATCAATCTCCAGATAAACAAATACAATTTATATGCAATTATAATTCGCAAAGTGGTCTTTTTAAAAAGATTTTAAATAGACACTGGCATATTTTAGAACAGAATGAAGATTTAGAACAATTTATTGGAAAAAAACTAAAATTGTATATAGGGGAGCCAGGAATTTTAAACGTATTTTAACTAGAAGTTGTATAACTAAAGAAATGGCAGACTTTCTTTAATTGTGGAAATTGCCAAGCATATAAAGAAACTAGAGTGAAGAATAAAAAGACAGACAGCTTCTCATCTAATTCCACTAAAAAAACTTATAAAATAGACTCTTTCATTTCATGTAATATAAACAATGTAATTTATCTCCTTTCATGCAGTTGTGGACTACAGTATGTGGGTAGAACCACCAGACCACTTAAAGTAAGAATAGGAGAACATATTAGAAATATAAAAAATAAAATATTGAATCACTCTGTATCCGCACATTTTGCACAAAAACACAATGGAGATCCTAAATGTCTTAATTTTATTGGCATTCAGAGGGTTAAAAAACCATGGAGGGGAGGTGATTTTATTAAGATTTTGAATAAAACATTAATGAGGTGGATTTTTGAGCTAGACACTTTATCCCCTTTTGGAATGAACATAGATTTTGAAATTTTTAACTATATTTAATTATGTTTCTAGTGCTTTAATTTTGGTGGAGGGCATAAACACCTCTTTTGTGCGTGGCATGTATATATGTATATTTTGTTATAAATAACATTGTGATTTATATGTGCCCTATATTTATAATATTGATATTTTATATGTATTTTTTCATTTTTCTACTTGCCCACGTATATACTATTTGTTTACCACTTCAAAAATGGCCGCTGGAATACCTCCGGCATTATGACAAAGGAACATTGACTGAATGAATAATATGAAGGAGGGACCACCCCAACCAAGCGAGAAACTTCCTAGTGTAATAAGAAGATAGAAGAAAAATAAAGACGGAACAGCCGAAACCGGAAGTCCCAGTCACCGGACGTGACGCAACGCAATGAATGTGGGCGGGGCTTAACACTTTTTTGCTGCGAATTTGGGGTTTAAAAGAGGGGGCAAGTAGAATATGTTTGTTGTATGCACCTGATGAAGGCATTTAGCCGAAACGCGTTGTGCTGATCTATGCTGACATTATGCTTCTTAAATGTAAGATTTTACTATTTGTTTTTTTATAATAAATGTTACAATTTTTTCTAACATCTATTTTTGCTCCTCAACATTCATATACACTGGGGAGGAATACATCAATAGAAGAATTCTAATCCACATATCCTACTCATGCTTATATACTTGAGCCAGTTTGAATGCAGGCTCATTTAAATGTGAGTAGGATTTTCTACTATTTATATATACATATTTGAAAATTGGGATACTTACCAGTACTATATTGCCCTATGTGAGCTTTATTGTTTCAGGGGCAACTGGACAAAGATCTTCTGGTATATGTTCTGGTATATATCTTTCTCATTCTAAATTTGTGTATAAACACTGTAATACACATTTCTGGACTTTTAGTGCGCTATCCACTTTATTTTCTATTTTCCTGTTTTATACTTGTTTGTGAAATTGTGTGGTTGATTTCACTGTGGGTTTAGCAGCACACTATAGCGCCATATTATCACCACTCTCTTATACCATTGTCTGATATCTTTAGTTATTGCTGCAAGTAGGGGGAGAAAGTTAAATTTGTACAGTTGCTCCAACTTGTTTGGTAGGTGCTTTCCTAGGTATTTAACAGAGGTGGCAGCCCACGAGAAATTAAAGTTTTGTCGGAGGAGGATGTCTAAATCCCGGGAGGTGTACAGAGCAAGCAGTTCACATTTAGTCAAATTTGCCTGAAAGTTTGATACTTTGCTATAAGTGTTCATTTCCTCCAGAATGTGGAGGATAGTGTTGAGTGGGTCCGATATCGTGAATAGAAGGTTATCTGCAAATGCGGAGACTTTGTATTCTGTGTTTTTGATTATAAAGCCCAGAATCTGTGGATTATCTGATACCTTGAAGGAAGGGTTCAAGTATCAGGATGAATAGGAGAGGTGAGAGGGGGCATCCTTGCCGCATACCGCTCCTTATCAGTACCGGTTCAGATAGTTGGCCATTAATGCGCAGTCTGGCAGTGGTGTGGAATAAATCACTCCCAACCATTCCAGCCAACGTGGGCCCAATCCCAGGAATTGCATAGTTGTTAGCATTAGGGACCGGTTCACTCTATCAAAAGCTTTCTCCGCGTCAATAGCCAAAAGAGCACTTTGTAATTTATTTGTTTGTGCCCAATGCATTAGGTTAAGAATTTTGGTGGTATTGTTCTTTGCTTCCCTGCCTGGGACAAATCCTGTCTGGCCCACATGTATGAGCCCGGGGAGCATCGGCTTTAGTCTGTTGGCCATAATGTTTGTCAGTATTTTTATGTCCACATTTATTAATGATATAGACCTATAAATGCCACAATTCTGTGGGTCTTTGCCTGGTTTAGGGATTAAAGCAACGGTAGGTTCCAGTGCAGATTTAGGGATATGGGCAGCTAGCTTTTGAGAGTTAAACGCGGTAATGAAGGGGTGGGCTAGTGTTCGTGACATTAGTTTGTAATATTTGCCCGTAAATCCATCTGGGCCTGGGCTCTTGCCTAGGGGATGCTGTTAGTGATTTGGTGGAATTCTTCTACAGAGATGGGGCTGTCTAGAAATGTTATCACATTGTGCGGCACAGTGTTTTGGATGCTCTTTTGGAGGAAGTCTTGGATCTCCGTTCGAGAGGGTGGTGTGTGTCTCAAATTATAGAGTTGGGTATAGAATGTATGGAGCGCACTCAAGATTTCAGGCCTTAAGTTAGTTAGCATGCCATCCGGGCATTTTTTTGGAAGATATGAAGGTTGTTTGTCTATTCTGTTTTAGGGATTGAGCTAACAGCATGCCCCCTTTGCCTCCTTGCCTATAGTAGGTGTGTTTTGTGAGTATTTTACATTTGGCATGCAATTGAAGTATCGTAGTTAATTTGGTTAGTTTTGATGTCAATGCTTTATAATTTAGTAATGTGTTATCTCTAACATGTTTCTCTTACAGGGTTTTAATGTCCTTGGCCAATCTCCTCATGTCAGTTTCTCATTTGCGTTTGAGGCGAGAGGCTATTCTAATCAGTTCACCTCTCACAACACATTTGTGTGTTTACCATTGCATAGCTGGCGTTGTGTCTGGGTTTGCATTTTCCCTGAAATACGTTTGAACGGTCTCTTGAAGTCGTGTAACGACTTCTAAGTTATTTAGTAATAGGTCGTTTAGTTTCTACTGAGTAGAGGTGTTGGTTAGGGATGGTATGATTTATGTCCAGAGAAAGCGGGGCATGGTCTGACCATGTAATCGACCCATATTTGGCTGCTTTGAGCAGAGGGAGGTGTCTGTGTTGGAGGCAAAGCATGTCTAAATGTGAGTAGGTATCGGTAGGGGGGGAGAAGAATGAGAAATATTTTCGTGTTGGATGGAGGGCTCTCCAACCATTGTAAAGTTGGTCTGCATGTCCCTCCTAGATTGTGTTACATAGTCAGTCGAGTTAGATGAGGTGTCTAGGTCTCCTTCAAGAGAGATGTTTAGGTCTCCTCCCAGTATGAGTATTCCCTCCTGAAAGGAAGTTCATTTGAGGAGGATCTTTCTTAGAGTCTGGGTTTGCTTTTTATTCTGTATATATATTAGCTAATGTCACCCGAGTGTCCCACATCTCCTTTAACGAATAGGAACCTACCTGACTCATCAGCTTGCTGATCTTGATACTTGTAAGTAGCAAGGTACCTTTCAAATACTGCTACCCCTCTGGATTTACTCTCCGTGTAATTGTTAAAATAGCCCTGTGGGTATCTACAGTTACTTAATGTCGGGGCAGAGTCTTTTTGAAAGTGTGTCTCTTGAATTAAGACTATTTCCGCTCTTTGTCTTTGAAAGTCTGCTAGTGCCATGGATTGTTTCTCTGGGGTATTTAGCCCTCTGGCGTTGTGTGTGTGTATGAATTGAGGTCATGGTGTCTGGAGGGAGGGGGTGGAGGGGTGAGGGGTAGATGGGGTAGCGATCCCTCAATGTCTGACCCCAGGTATGTCTGTGTAGTTATGTGTTACTTTCCCCGAGTCCTTGAGGAATGGAAATCTGCGCTGTACTTAGGAAAAAGCACTGACAGATATGTAATAGTAACTTAGATAAAATCCACTAAAGAAGTAAAATAAAAGAAATAAAATATGGAAATCAAAGATAAGAAACGAACAGTGAACAAGGTCACGTGTGATCTTTATGCTTGGTGCTAGGTAGTAGTGGTCTAAACAGGAAATACAAAGTTAGTCGGTCTGCAATTGTAAGTATATGCGTACAGTCATCAATAACAATATCAACAGTATCAATAAGAACAGAGATCCCCTGTTGACGGGGATGTAGATTTTAAGCTAAAGAAACAATGGTGTTTGTATCTCATGAAAATCTCTCTGGAATAATGACTCAATCTCTGTGCAGGAGATAGAGCTCTATATATTTGGGGGGAGGGGAGGAAACGTGGTGATGGGGAGACCGTAGGTCGTTCAATCATTAATTAGGCCTGAAGCTTTAGGAGATTCGTGATTGGTTAAGGAGGTGAAGGGAGCAAGGGAAGGGCGGGTGGGGAGGACAGGGATGAGGAGGCATAGGTTACGTTCAGAGTTGTTCGTATCATTTATGTATGTAAGACAGTTACCACACACACACAGGGAGACAGACAGACAGTCACACACTCACACGCAGGCAGTCAGACAGACAGTCACACACACACACACACAAACAGCCAGTCAGACACACACAGGGAGACAGTCAGTCAGACAGACAGTTACACACACAGGCAGTCAGGCAGACAATCACACACACACACACACGCAAACAGCCAGTCAGACAGACAGTCACACACACACACAGGGAGACAGTCAGACAGACAGACAGTTACACACACAGGCAGTCAGGCAGACAGTCAGACAGACACAGTCACACACACACACACAAAAGCAGGCAGACAGTCACACACACAGGCAGGCAGTCAGACAGTCACACAGGCAGGCAGTCAGACAGTCACACACACAGGCAGACAATCACACACACAGGCAGGCAGTCACACACACAGGCAGGCAGTCACACACACAGGCAGACAATCACACACACAGGCAGACAATCACATACACAGGCAGACAATCACACACACAGGCAGGCAGTCACACACACACACACACACACAGACTTACCTCTTTCCATTATGGCTGGAAGGGGGAGTGGACGCAGTTGGTTGTTGGGCTGCCCTGCACTCCTGTCACCTGGCCATGTGCGAGTTGTGTCAGCCACATGGCGCCTCCTGGTCCATGGCGCCCAGTGCGGCTGCACAGCTCGCACACCCCTAAGGCCGGCCCTGCTTCCTGTTATATAATGCTTGCACTTTTGTATACAACCTGTGGAGGCATTTCTGGAAGCAGAGTAGGAACTTTGTGAGGTGGAGGAGACAATGGGAGTTCGTTGCAAGTGGACTTCATTGGTCTCGGAACACTAGGACGTCTTCGTTGAGAGTCCATGTAGTGCAAGTTTCTTTATCATGGAAGAATTTGTATTCCAGGGTTATGGACCTATTTGCTAGAAATGGTGGTATCCGTCTTTTTTTGTCCCTTCATGTCGTCTGTGAATTCGGGTGAATTCGTATCAAGCGAGGTTAAGGGTGGTTCTCTCCTTGATTCGGTGGATTCTTTCGGTGGGGTGAGAATAATCTTTGATCCTGTCTTCTTTTCTTTGTGTTACAGCCTTGGCTTTGTGGAATGCTGGCCTGTTCTTCATTGGTTTGTGGACCACACCAGTCCACGACTTGTGTATCAGGCAGTTCTAGCGCTTGCAGAAAGGGTCCTACATCCAGATAGGTTGTTATAGAGTAGCTCGTGCCCTTGTGGTTCACTATTAAAGCGAAAGGGAAACCCCAGCGTTACCTTATGTTGGGGTTCCTTAAGTGTTCTGTGATTGGTTTCAATGCTTTTCTCGTCTGTAAGGTGAACCATGACAGGTCAGGGTAATGTCAGGATATTTATATCGGCAGACATTTTGTGCTACGATAGAAATTAAAAGTGTATATTGCCAGAGTCACTCATAACAGAGCAGACTCCATTTTGGATTTCAGGCAATACAGACACAAAATTTCTTTCCTTTCTGTAACTAGCCACTAGCCTGAGCTAAGGAATGCATTATGTAAACAAGCCAAGTGATAAGCAATAAAGCAGGGGGATGGAATGCTCTGTTTAAATGTTAATGGAATAGAAATAATTTTAAACACAAACACTAGTGACAGAGAAGACTAAGTAATTAATTTTACTTTCTAAATTTTACAAGGTCTCGTAAGTAAGGGGTGAAATTGAGTTTAGACATGTCAATCCTAGAAATTACGATCAAAGTCGTTGCCACAAAGACTGAGGCAAATGCTTTGAACTGACAGCAAATTTAAGTTATGGTAGTCATTTTAGATAAGCCAAATGACGTCAAAAACGTCATCAGAAAAAGTTAACTCTCTCGAATAATCTAAATTGCAATCTGCAGGTTGACCATACCTTCAGTATCCTATTGGCCTTATCAACTAATGACGTACAGAGAGTCTGGCCCTTTAAAAGTTAGGACAAAGGGTAGAGAGGAGGTTAGTTTGGGCATACAGATTCGGACTTGCAGAGAGATCCAGGACACTCTGGCACTAACCCTCAAACTCTCTTGGACACAACTCAAGAAACACTCCTTGACACTTAGAATTTTACGCTTACTTTCTAACCAACATCACTTTTCTCTATTACTTACACACCTCCATACAACAAATCATACTCGCATGTTCCTGGGACTACCTACTCATCTGATGAGAACATCTACATAACTGGTAATTATGCTGGTTTTATTTAATTAATCTAAATTAATTAAAATCTAAAAGCATGATATATGACTGGATAAATCACGGTCAGATTTCAATGTTTAGAAATCTTAGTTAACTAAAGAATATATAGTTATAAACATTCCATTCTGCAGGTGGAATTAAGAATAATTATCTATTAATGTGATATTATCATGTGTTAGCATACCGCTGTTTTTATTTGCTCTAAAATAAGATAAGATATCTTTTTAAGCAAATTAAAATTCGGCTTTTGTAAAAATCTGGTAGATTATTTTTATTGGATGGTTCCAGGAAATATTTAATGAGCTGGTTCGAATGTTATTTTAATTGAAAATTACATGAGAATAGGATATTATATGCCTATGAGGATCTAGCCAGCATTAAAAGGGTTGCTCAGTTGATCTAACTGTTAGCCAAGGTTTTATGGCTTTTCTCTGGAAGTTTAGCTTTCTGTGTCTGTGATGTACCTTCATAAATTGTGTAAGTCTTGACAGTTGACGCTGTAGCTTTGTACTGTGTTTAAACATTGCCATTGCATACTTATGTTATACTAAATATTCACTGATTATTATCATGCATGCTGCCTAATATTATTGTTATTTTATTTGTCACAATAAATTATATCTATTTTTATAACAAATTGTGATTTTATTTGTATAGAATACATTTCACTTACATGATAAAGATCTAAGAGAATTGAAATAGTGGGCAATTCTCAACATTATCTCAACATTATCATCCCATAAATATCCCCACAGTAAATTTGTATTGGGGTCCCGTGAAACAATAGTGGTTGAGCCATGTCCCTTAGAGCTCTAAGGATGTTATCCTTAATAGCAAAGTAATGTATACATGACATATCACATCTCTTGGGGCCTCCACAGCTGATCCTCTCGGACGTAACAACTTATGGACTCTATCTAATAGGATTTGATTGTTGCTGGCTTCCCCAATAATCAATTTGAAAAGCTCAGTCAGAGTGGAAACAACATCTTCCCCTTGGGCCTCAGTCAGACCCCTTATCCTTAGATTGTTTATTTGGCTGCGGTTGTCTAAGTCATCAATGTGATGGTGGATAGAGGATAAGAAGTGTGTTTGGCTTTCACTAGTAGTGGATAGGTTCATTATTTGGGCTTGTAATATGTCCCGTTCGCGCTCCAGATCATCAACTCAGAGACTTACTGATGTCGCTTCCATCTTGGTTTGAAACGCGGCCTCCAGTCTACTCAGCATTGTAGCCAAGTCAGCCTTGGAAGGTAAGTTTATTAGCTTTAATGTCTGCCTCCTGTGATGTGTCTTGACATATGTTAGAGCACTCAGAGGAGGAGGAGATGCGGCATGTTTTTCCTGCGCTGCCGTCTTAGCGGAGAAAACTGGTCCGATTTTGTAGAGGGGGGTTTTATGGTAGGATTATGCTTCTTTGGGTTCCCCATCCTGCTCCAAAATCTCCAATTAGGTCTGATTGAATCCTGGGTCTCAGAGAGCTGAATCAGTGCACAGTCAGCTCCGCGGCAGTCTAGTAGTATATTCTTATGCGGACTTTAAAAACCTTTACATTAATCAATGTATATGTCAATCTGACAATTATAAAACATTTTACAAACTGTATTCATTTTTAACAATTGATTTTAACCTAAATTCCATGTAACACATCATGCTGGTCGCAATGTGGGCACTTATCCAACTAGTTTTTTGTTTCTTTCTAATATCTCAGATTATTAACACACATCTGCAAATATAAAACATGCTTAAAAAAATTAATAATCTAAAAATGCAGAGCAAATTTAGAAAGTGAAGGCTAATTGTTGCATGTTGGTACATATTTTGAGTAGGAAGACATATGTAAAATTACATTATCAAAGTTTAGAAAAGAGGTAAAGAAGTTTAGAAAAAAACCTAAAATATTAACATGATATATAGAAAACATAACTAGTTTATTCATATTAACCCATTCACGCCAGCAATCATGTATACACAATTTTCATCATTGCAAAGTATGCCTTTAATAGGTCTGGAAATCCACAGTGTCACTGCACTGGGAGCTGCAACACTGTGAGTTTCCAAGAGTTGCATACACAGTCTATCTCTCTGCATTCGTTGCTCTCTGTTGTTCTCCTCAGAGCTGCTAAATATTGATGGTTTGCGGAGCAAGGGGTGAGGGTTGCAGCCTCTCAATTATGTTCTTTAGTGAGCTGATAATGCTGTAGTTCAGGGGTAAGGGAGGACTGTAGGAGAAGGATATTACTATATGAAGTTACAATCCTAATGGAGCAGGGAAGCAGAATGTGCTTGAGAGCTTCTCTCATGGCTGATGTCAGGAGTTACAACACACTATCACTACTACAGCTCTACACATGTTTTTGTGTGTTTTTAACCATGTGAGTGTGTTACCATGTGTGTTTTGGCAGTATACGGAGTGACAGTGTGTGTGTCTGTGTACATATGTCTCTAAAATTGTGAAACGTTTTGTTTCTGGTTGGCCATTGTTGCCCTGAATGATACATAATAAAAATAAATGTTGAGTAATAAATATAGATTTTAAGATTACTTGCTTATGGCTTGTCGTTAAAACGAATATACTTAAAGTGTCCTACTGTTTCTAGTAAAGTGATGGTATCTTTTTTATCATTCATGGTCCTGCTTTTTGCAGAGCTTTATAATAAATAGGGAAAGACTCAAAGCTGTTAGCAGTAGTGTAAATTGGTATGTTGCAGTAAAAGCTTTTAATTGGTTTCCAGAGAATTAAAGGTTAATAAGACTTAAATAACCTTAGTGAAAGTGTTTGGAGAAAGTGGTGTCTTGAATGTACTGATGTGCAATGCTTCCCCCAAAACAATCAATAGGCATGCAAAACATAGTTGCTGAGTAGACTTCAAAATGGAATAATTAAAACATGTAAAATAATTAAGAATTCAAATAGTAGAATTAAAAAATTAATTTGTAGCAGTTTGTCTGAACCAAGTTCCTTTTAATCCACACCAGAATGAATTGATCAGTCCGTGATTTACCTGTAGAGTATTCGACATTGATTAAACAGGTAAATCCTCGACAGATTTATTCATTCGGGTGTGGATTAAAATAAATATCATTTGGGCAAACTGCTCCAAACAAATATTTGCTAAGACTTCCTTTACATCAACGGTGGATAGAGAACAATAGAAATGTAACGACTTTGAAAGTGTTCTAGCAGCAATAAAGCACAATACATATGATAAATGCAACACTGCAAAAAATAATTAGTACCTGCCACACATTATGCTTAACATACCCAAAATCTATTCCCTTTCTTCCTAATGACAGTTTTTTGTTTTTTTCTATATTGAGTAATATGTGACATGGTTAAATACTGGTAATGTTACTCAGGAAATCTTACAGAATGTAACTTGGAAAGTAATATTAAAATACAAATATTTTCTGGAAAAGAAAACAGCCTCAGATATGGCGGTATCACAAATCTTTCAAGTGTACCGCTCCACCATCAGGATCTAATTAACTGCTATAAGATTGTTGTTATTATTATTATGTTAGATTTCATAAGAAATAAAATAATCATGAATGTGTGTTTTTTTTTCCAGCATTGTGAACAGCATCTGTTTTTCATTCGATTATATGCTTAGGGAAGATCCAACTCAACAATATTCATATTATCACTCTTGGAAGAAAGGAAATGGTTAACCCTGTTGGAAATCAACCTTGCAAAATTGATGTTTGACCTTTAGTTGGTGCTTTTACTTAATTTGCACTCTGTTATTTGCTAGTTCACTTGTGATGGGCTCAGAAAATGGTCTAATATAGGGTCAGTGGCAGGGCTGGCATTTCCATAAGGTGACACAGATGGCTGCCTTAGGGCACCAGAGCAGAGGGCACAAAAACCTAATCCCTGGCCAGAGACTTGAATTTTTCAAATACTGCCAGCCTCCTTCACTCTCTCTGCTTCACTGAAGCAGCCCGTGCACACCAGTGTGGAGGTGAAGTTGGCCAACCTCATCTGATGTCAGAGGGGTGCGCGACTTTCAACTCTCTTCCCCACAGATTCCCCAGAGGCTCCAGCATGGTAGCGAAGTTTGCAGCCACTCTAAAAGAAGATAGAGGGACCAACTTCTACTGTTCATTTCTTCCTCTTAATCTGGCATAGACTTCAGCATGCCTACGCTATGAAATATGGTAGAGCAGAGAGCCCGACTTCTGCCACCCTCCCCTTGGTCCCAATATTCACCAGGTCCTGTAGACAACCCTGCAGACCAGGATGAAGCTAGCCACTGGCCACACATATAGTCTTCTGGTTTTCAT